GCCATGTAAAAATACATATGCATATACACTATTTGCATTATAAAACACACATTCTCAATTTTAATGGAAACATTTTAGAAATCTATAATAATTATTAGATTTATTGCATGTAATTTGGTTCACAAGAATTCGATTTAAAACTATTAAGCTTTTGCAAGCCATTAAAAAAAAAAAAAAGATTAAACCATCTACACTTCTCACCTCTCGACAATGAGTGAACAGTCTTTTGAACAGAATACTTGAAATATAATACTTGAACATTTTACAAATTCAAATTTTTATGTTTTAATAATATCATATTTAAAGACTTGAAATTAAAGGGGAAAATTAAAGAAGCATTGATTTTGTTGATGCATGGAAAGTAACCGAATGTTTATTATTATTTAAAATATATTTTTTAAAATGAATATTGTTTGAAGATTAATTGAAACATTATCCATTTAAAAACAAAAAAAATATTAGGAACCTGGCATCGTTATTAAACAGTAAATGGGGATGGGGTGGTGGTGGTTAGTAATTGAGTGACCAAAATATTCAGCCGAAAAGAGAAATGCTAAAAAAGTGGGAATCAGCCCAAAAATTATTCACCTTTTTAAAACAGAAAACGCATTATTGTATTAAAAAAAAAACAGAAGGGTTGCAGCCCCCCCCCCCCCCCCCCCCGACAACGCGTGCCTACATTTCTAAAAAATAAAATCTGGCACTTATTAAATTCCTACCCAACTAGAAAACAAAATTCTTAATTACAAGTTTCTAGTTCATCCCAACTCTTGCGAAAAATAATCGATGGATTTTACTACCTGTCTACATATTATCATATGTTGTTTATTAATTTTCATGATTTTTGAAATTCATATAATTATGTGCATGTATATAAATAGGTATTATATCAGTTTTTGATTAAAACACTTGCCCTTTTTTCCAAATTGTGTACAGACTAAGAACTTACGCCTACTCAGTAGCAGGCCTAGATTTAAACCAAAATTTAGTCTCGACTAAGTCTCCGCCTTTTTGTGAAACGCAACTTAGTCCGACTTTCGGGTTTATTCACTGATTTTGTCCGGACTAAGCTAACGCCTGGACGTAGGGCTTTTTGAGAAACTAGGCCCTGCAGTTTTGTTGTTAGTTAAATTCCGCACAACAAAGTATAAGCGGTTAATCGGCCGCACTATAATTCTCAATATGACGTCATAACGTCAGCTTGAACACAGAGTGAGGCTTAACAAGTAACATTATGTTCATTGAAAAATGCATATAGTTAGCGAATAAAATACAATCCAAAGCACTTTTTAATCTCACATGGTTTTTCGCACAAATTAAGGTCACTTGTTGTAATAAAAGTTACCATTTTTGAACTGCAGTGCAATGACATAACCCTTCTTTATATTACATATATAATGTCAAGCATAAAAGTCTTTTAAAATTATAAGTTTCCAAACGGGATGTTTTAAAGGGAAATTTATAAATAAATGGTCGGATGTTTCGACTATACGATTCTACCATATGTTTTACAAATTGTATAAAAGGAGCTTCCCTTGATACAATGTAGATGAAAATTTTTAATTTTCTTTTTCAAACGTGAGCATTAAAAAAAATCTTTGCTCATTAACCATACTCCTCTTGGTTTTGTCGAAATGTAGCACCGAAAAGGAAAAAAAAAATACAGAAGGAAACCACACTAAAGGATAGGATATTGAAGTATTGTTTATTTTATTTCAATAGTAAATTCATTCTATGAAGAGGGAAATTCTTCTGCATTTACCTTTTGAAACATTAAAATTTTGCAATGGGATGAATCTCTAATGATTCTAAATTCTGGAAGTTGACCCTGAAAATTCCCGCCTTACTTACATAGAAAGCACTCAAACAGATAAAAAAAATACTATTACCACCCCGAGTTAAAGAGTCAAAACAGTAGCTGTACTGTTCCCATGTCTACGTTTCTGCAAAGAGCTATTGCTTTCAAAAGCACGGATATAAGACGGATAAAAAGCTGAAGACGTTTACAATTGGCAAGAAACCACATAAATTCAAATGAGAATAGTTGTTATTTTTCAGCCATGAATATATCAAAGTTCTACCAAGTGATTTGTGTGAATTATGTTTCAGTAAATGAAACAAAGCTCAGATTATGAACACAGATACTTTTAAAATGTATTTTGTTGTCTCGATACACAATATGACATCATAACAATGTGATCCTAATTGGTGTGAAAAACCATGTGACTTTAAAAAGTGCGCTGATATGTATTTTGCAGATATGAATAGAGACATTAGATAAGATGCGATGTCTATTTTTATAGTCATAAATTGTCCATATAAAGGTTTGCTCTTGTATATTTGTATGCAAATTCATTTAAATGAAATAAGGGGGTCAAGGTTTTATGCACATAAACATAAGACTTATTAAAGTATTTGAAAAGTGCTTCGACTGAAAGAAATCCTGTAAATAAAAATATATCATTCTATATTTATGTAGTTGACCAGAAAAACAATTGAAATGTAATTTTGCAGTTTTAAAGTGGAATCTTTTTTAGGATCGCATCACTTTTCCCGTAGAAAATACAGTAGGGAGGTTGAGATTTTAAACTTGTACGCGTATGTGTACTTGTAAATATTTTGACGTACACGTTTTTTTTAATCTGTCTGTTGAGATTTTTTTTGACGTGTAGCATGTACGTGTACACCGCAATCGGCGTCCCTGTTTCGACTATATAGAAGTTTTATGTCGCAAGTTTAATTATGATTAGTAAACAAAACTTTATTCAAATAAGTGCTCGTGAATCTTTACATCCTATTAAATGTATAACAATCACATTTTCACGCATAAATTGGCTAATTTTTATCATTTAAGCAACACGTTTTTACTTACGTGTAGATTCCATTCGACAAGTTTTACAAAAGTGTAGAAAACTTTTCATCACTAGAATTGATGAGGTAGTACGCAAGTAATTTAAGTAATTCTTCTATTAGACGTACCCGTACCCGTACTCGTTTGAAATCTCAACCTATCTAGTGTTGAAAAGAATTATTAACTAAACTTAGATTTTTTAATGAGCCATAACCTTTTATATTGAAATTTATAGATAACCCAAATACTGCATGTAAATTTGGTAAAATCGTGTGACTCCGACATAGTGTATATTGTTAGAATGAAAAAAAAGACCAAGATTTAAAAAAAATGTCGAAGTGTCCAATATTTAAAAAGACAAAATTAACTATATTTTCAAGTCTTTCGTTCAAAATTAAATAACGTCATTATTTCTTTTTCAATCAAAAAAATTATTATTTAAATCTGATTTATTGATTCAAATGGAATATAAAACACCGAAACAAGCTGTGTTGCGTTTTTCCTTAAAAATCGGGAAATCGCCAGTAGAGACAGTTACGATGATAAATTAATCTGATTCACAGAGGAAAAAAAATGTAAGCAAGAGACATGTTTCTAAATGGTTTCAGTGATTTTATGCGGGTAATATGTTGTTGAATAAGCAAAAGAGGACAACAAGCCCAAAAGATAGGAAGATGGGCAGAAACATTCAATGAAGTCTGATGTTGTCAAAAAAGAGAATTAAGCAATAAAAATATGAGAAACTTTAAGTTTGTCTCAATATAATGATAATGTTTGAAAAATTTTGTTAGAGGACTAAATATTAGATAGAGTGCGTGTATACAATTGGTGCAAAAAATACATAAAAGAACGTTTAATATGTGAATGTGTTTGTGAATCTCATTTTTTAACGAAACCAAGGGGGGGGGGGGGGGCGTTTATTAAGTGTATAGCTGGGCATATCCATCATATGACGTTACGTTGGTGTGGCGATTTTGGTAGTTGTTCAAAAAATGAGATTCACAAACACATTCACATATTAAACGTTCTTTTATGTAATTTTATTTTTAGAGGAAATAAATAAATTGAAGATTGGTACAAATCCTACCATAGCCGTGAAATTTTGAAACTTTTATAGTATTACATACGAGGGATATATTTTAATATTTTGAAAAGTAAAAGTCATTTTAATTTGAATTTTTCAGGACTGATTTGAAATAAATGTAGCTTCCATCATTTGTAATTTTGTTAATTTGTGTCGTCTAGTGTCCTCTATAGCTAGTAGCAATTTAATCGAAGTTGCGGCATTAATTTTTTATCATCCCTCGTATGTAAGATTAATAGTTTTCATAGTCCAGTATAGCGCAGCATTAGTTTCTACAAGTACAAAAAGGTCAGTTGTAATTTGAAATAATAGTAAACGTGTGTTATTTCTATGCTTCCATTTGTACAATGTAGAAATTATTGATATACTGTAATTGTGTTTGAGCTCTTATTCGTCTGAGGACGAGAATTAAAGCTTTATCAATTTTGAGAGGATAATTTCTTTATCACCTCCTAATCCTGCAATTTATTAAATATTCGATTGTCGTTTTATTATTCAATCGTCGGTCAATTCGACTGATAGTCGAATTTTTCGTTGACATCCATAAAAAATCGTGAAGCTACGTTTTGAGTAGTGCTTATTTATGTGAGTTCTAAACCCTGTATTAACTTCTCGTTCATATTATTAACGTATAAATAATATAGCATGACATTGTGAGAAGATATAAATGTAAACAAATATAACATACTTTTAATGAAAACCAACCATATCGCCGATACAGAAGGCGTTTATAGAAAGAAAAACAGGCTATTATATGGTCAACAAGTATGCCGCAGATATTCAGGGAATTTGTGCTAAAAAGCTTATTTTTGCAAAATATTTATTCATAGAGAATTTCTTTAAAAACTAATTGTTTATTTAAGTCAAGCGTAATTCTAAATTTGTTACTTGCAAAAAATGTTAATTGATCACTGAAATATGTCACACTTTACTGTGTATGTATTGTTAAAAAAGTTTTATTTTCGTAAGTTCATCAATGATTTTTGATGGACCATACGTAATTTACGAGTATTGTCTGTATAACTATTTTGTTTTTGAATGATAAAAGAGTTCTGGTTATTGTAGAATCAACACTATATGAAGACATCCTAAAGACTTGGCGAGAAGAAGACAGTCACTTTATTCCAACAGCAGCATGTAAATTTGTTGAAGTAAAAATTAGAAGTCAAAACTTTGTAACGGTGGTTGGAAATTCTGGATGCGGAAAAACGGCAATTATGCAACACATTGCACTCAAATTTAAAGAAGAAGGCGAATGGTATGTCAAACCTGTCGATGACGTTAGAGAAATAAAAGAAATATGTTCTACAGGAATCAATTCAGATGATAAGATTTTGTTCATTTTAAATGATCCGATTGGTAAGGAGACGTTGGATGAAATTTCATATAATTTATGGAAAATGTATGAGAAAACGCTTACAGTTTGCTTGAAGAAGGTTAAGTTGTTAGTGTCTTGCAGAAGATGTGTCATATACGACAGGCGCGTAGTTGGGATACTCAAGAAGAAATCAAGCATAGTAGAAATAGACTCTGGCAATTTGAAACTTACAGAGGTTGAAAAGAAGAAGATCTTAAATATATATTGTCAACATATGAAGCTTTCGGAAGATGATGTTAGGGAAATTGTTAAAAGAGAGGCTTATTTCCCATTGCTTTGTAAATGCTTGTCATATGAATCAAGTAATAAGAAAAAAGGAATCAATTTCTTTAAATATCCTTTCAGTTTTATAAAAAATGACATCGAACAGTTCAAGTATACTGACAAAAAGAAATACTGTGCTATTATTTTGATCATAGTTTTTAGAAATAATTTACAAATCAATACTATCAGAACAAAAAGTTGTTCTTTACAGAAATATAAAAATGTTTTAGAGATATGTGATTTACCGGAACATACAAGTCTTTCAGTCATTCGAAATACCCTCTGCGAATTAGAAGGATCCTATGTAAAGCGTGTTGGACACGTTTTCCATTTCCTTCATGACTTTATCATGGAAATATCAACATTTGTGTTTGGCGTTGATTATCCATTAGAGACAATACAGTACGCAGAAAGTGGTTTCATGCGACGAAGAATGAGAATAGAGGACGACACTGAGGGGGAAGATCGCGATCCATTTACCATTTATCTGCCTGAAGAGTATATATGTGATCTTGTGAGGAGGTTCATCGATGATATTCAGACAGAAAATGTTACTGATGTCGTTATAAACCCAAATCTACGTAATCAAAAGGTGATTAAAGTGTTTAAAGAAAGCATGAATTCGACAGAGGTACAGAAGTTTTCTAAGAACTATATTCAGACGCCCAGGTCTAATGAAATGGAACAAAGTTATAATGCTAGTTTCTCGCGTATTGCTCTTCTTAATTCAAACGACAATCTATGTCCTTTGGACGTATTGATAACATTTTGTCATGATGAAATTTCCCTTTCTTGCTTGTCCATTCTCAAAAAATGTGACATTGAAATACCTTCTACTTTCTGTTCAATGTGTGCTAATGGTAATCCGAAGTTTTTAGATTGGCTGAGTTTGGAATATAAAGAGAAATCCTTGTCAAAGACATGGGGTATATTTTTACCAATTCATATTGCTTCTATGTTCCATAACTTTTTAATAATTGAAAAATTAATAGGACTCGATGGTGACGTAAATAAGTTAACTGCGAATAATACGGGTACCCCGTTAACACTGGCAGCAGGAAACAACGAAGAACATCTTAAAGAGGCTGGGATGGACACATACGGAGGGGTAAGACGTAATATAACAATCCTTTGTTTATTACAAAATGGTGCCAAAATAAATTTTTGCATCAAGAATGGATCTAGCCCCCTCTGGATAGCTTGTCAAAATGGACATAGCAGCACTGCACAACTTTTACTGGAGAACGGCGCCGACATAAATCTATGTGACAAGGATGGAGCTAGTCCCCTTTGGATTGCTTGTCAAAATGGGCATGATAGCACAGCGAAACTTTTACTGAACAATGGTGCCGACATCAATCTATGTAACAAGGATGGAGGGAGTCCCCTTCGGATTGCTTGTCAAAATGGGCATGAACGCACAACACAACTTTTACTGAAGAATGGCGCCGACATCAATCTACGTTACAAGGATGGAGCGAGTCCCCTTTGGCTAGCTTGTCAAAATGGGCATGACAGCACAGCGCAACTTTTACTGAACAATGGTGCCGACATTAATCTATGTTACAAGGATGGCACGAGTTCTCTTTTTATAGCTTGCAAAAATGGACATGATAGCACAGCACAGCTTTTACTGAACAATGGTGCCGACCTAAATCTTTGTGACAATGATGGAGCGAGTCCGCTTTTCTTAGCTTGTAAAAATGGACATGATAGCACAGCACAGCTTTTACTGAACAATGGTGCCAACATAAATCTTTGTGACAATGATGGTGCGAGTCCACTTTTCTTAGCTTGTAAAAATGGACATGATAGCACAGCACAGCTTTTACTGAACAATGGTGCCGACCTAAATCTTTGTGACAATGATGGAGCGAGTCCGCTTTTCTTATCTTGTAAAAATGGACATGATAGCACAGCACAGCTTTTACTGAACAATGGTGCCGACCTAAATCTTTGTGACAAGGATGGAGTGACTCCGCTTTTTTTAGCTTGTAAAAATGGACATGATAGCACAGCACAGCTTTTACTGAACAATGGTGCCGACCTTCATCTTTGTGACAATGATGGAGTGACTCCGCTTTTCTTAGCTTGTAAAAATGGACATGATAGCACAGCACAGCTTTTACTGGACAATGGTGCCGACCTAAATCTTTGTGACAATGATGGAGTGACTCCGCTTTTCTTAGCTTGTAAAAATGGACATGATAGCACAGCACAGCTTTTACTGGGCAATGGTGCCGACATAAATCTTTGTGACAAGGATGGAGCGAGTCCGCTTTTCTTAGCTTGTAAAAATGGACATGATAGCACAGCACAGCTTTTACTGGACAATGGTGCCGACCTAAATCTTTGTGACAATGATGGAGTGAGTCCGCTTTTTTTAGCTTGTAAAAATGGACATGATAGCACAGCACAGCTTTTACTGAACAATGGTGCCAACATTAATCTATGTTACAAGGATGGCACGAGTTCGCTTTTTATAGCTTGCAAAAATGGACATGATAACACAGCACAGCTTTTACTGTACAATGGTGCCGACATAAATCTTTGTGAAAATAATGGAGCGAGTCCGCTTTTCTTAGCTTGTAAAAATGGACATGATAGCACAGCACAGCTTTTACTGAACAATGGTGCCGACCTAAATCTTTGTGACAATGATGGAGTGAGTCCGCTTTTTTTAGCTTGTAAAAATGGACATGATAGCACAGCACAGCTTTTACTGTACAATGGTGCCGACATTAATCTTTGTGACAAGGATGGAGCGAGTCCACTTTTCTTAGCTTGTAAAAATGGACATGATAGCACAGCACAGCTTTTACTGGACAATGGTGCCGACATAAATCTTTGTGACAAGGATGGAGCGAGTCCGCTTTGGATAGTTTGTAAAAATGGACATCGAAGCACAGCAAAAAAATTACTGAACACTGGTTCCGAAATAAATCTTTCTGACAATGATGGAGCGAGTCCGCTTTTTTTAGCTTGTAAAAATGGGTATTACAGAACAGCACAACTATTACTGGACAATGGCGCCGACATTAATCTATGTGACAAGGATGGAGCGAGTCCACTTCAGATAGCTTGTAAAAATGGGCATGACAGAACAGCACAACTATTACTGAACAATTGTACCAAAATCGATTTTTGTGACAATGATGGAGTGAGTTCACTTTTGATAGCTCGTAAAAATAAACATGCAAGCATAGTAGAGCTTTTTTAAACAACTCTGCCGACATCAATGCATATTAATTTACATTGCTTGTCTAAATGAAGAAAAAGTAGCTATTTATTTACTGAACAAGCGTACCGACAGCAATCTGTTTGATAAATTCACTTGGCATGGCGTTTCAAAATAGGCATGACAACACAAAACCAATTTTACTTAATAAAGCCGCGGAAATCGATTGATGTGACAAGGATGGAGCTAAACTTCTTTGGATGACTTGTCCAAATGTATGCTACATAATAGCAACTATTTTACTGAACAATGGTGGTGACAATTACCTATTTAACAAACATGGAGGCAGTCTGTCTAGCATAGTTTCTCAAAATGGAAATATCATCACAGTGACTATTTTGATGAGCAATAGTGTTTAAGGGGGAGATTTGGGTTTTATTGTGTAAAAACTACAATAGCGAAACTCTTCAATTTATATACATTGTACCATATATAACTTCCTATAACTTTAGTGTATATGCAAAGTTTGGGCGAAATCTAAAGTCCATGAATTTCAATGGGTCGTCTCAAAATATAGGTACATTTACTATGGATTACATAGGAAAGTTACAAATTTTAGCACTTTTAGGCAAATTATACAAAAAATAGGCTTTTTGTTCAATTCATAATATATGATGAATAATACTATATTGTACATTATGTAAAGGAAACACGAAATTCTACCGTCTTCTTACGAGAGGGGGCATCTCAAAAGGCCGAAAATGAAAAAAAAATCCTGTTTTTAGCTCACCTGAGCCAAAGGCTCAAGTTAGCTTTTCTGATTACATTTTGTCCGTCGTCTGTCCGTCCGTCTGTAAACTTTTCAAATTTTTGACTTCTCAAGAACCACTAGGGCAATTTTAACCAAACTTGGTACAAAGCTTGCTTGGGTGAAGGGGAATTTAAATTTCTTAAAATGAAGGGCCAAGTCCCCTCACAATGACGAAAAAACAAAAATAGGGTGGGGTCATTAAAATATCTTCTTCTCAAGAACCATTGAGCCAGAAAAGCTGAAACTTATGTGGAAGCACCCTGGGGTAGTGCAGATTCTAAATTGTATTCTAAATCATGACCCCCGGGGGTTTGGGCGGGGCCACAATGGGGAATCAAAGTTTAATGTAGAAATATATAGGAAAAATCTTTAAAAATCTTTTCTCAAGAACCACTGGGCCAATAAAGCTGAAACGTATGTGGAAGCACCTTGGGGAAGTGTTGATTCTAAATTGTTCAAATCATGACCCCCGGGGGAAGGGTGGTGTCAAAATGGGGAATCAAATTTTAACATAGAAATATATAGGAAAAATCTTTGAAAATATTCCTCTCAATAAACACTGGGCAAGAAAACTGAAACTTATGTGAAGGCATCCTGTGGTAGTGTAGATTTCAAATTGTTTAAACTATGATCATTAGAGTAGGGTGGGGTCACAATATGTATTACAAGGGGGAAATCTGGTATAAAACAAAATGGTCAAGGATTTTCAGGTGAGCAATGTGGCCTATGGGCCTGTTGTTTAGAGTACTACTAAATATGAATGGCACAAAGACATTATATGAAAAAAATGATAAGTATAAAGAAGACATTATCATTTTATTTGATACGCAAGAGCTTACTCTACGTATGAACAATTCTAAAACAAGTAAAATAATTGACAAGCAAGTTGATGAAGAAAGTTATAGAGATAACGAACAATATTCAATCTCAAAGTCACCGTTCACGGTAGCCTAGTGGTAGAGCGTTCGCTTCGTGATCGGGAGGCCCGGGTTCGATTCTCGTTCCCGGCGCCGCGTCAAACCTAAGACGTAAAAATAGGTAGCGACTGTTCCTTCGCCAAGCGCTCGGCATCAGAAGTGAAAGTCACGGGTCTTTCGGATATGACCTCAAATACGTAGGTCCCGTGTCACGGTAGGCGCTGGCACGATAAAGAACCCTCACTGCTCAATGGCCCTGAGCGCCGATTATAGGTCTAAATTTGAAGCCCTTCACTGGCATACGGTGACGTCTCCATATGAGTGAAAAATTCTCAAGAGGGACGTTAAACAATATACAATCAATCAATCAATCTCAAAGTCCATTAAACAAGACAAAACAAAAGCAGAGCAAACACGGACCCCCGTAACATCAGAGGTGGGATTAATGCCATGGAGAGGTGAGCATCCCCCGCCGACCGGTCACACCCGCCGTGTGCTCCTTGTCATGATCAGGAAATAACGTGAAAAATCCGTCGTCAACTCAGTGTATAAACAATGAACTAACCATTGGTATGAAAAACGTCAGTTAGCATTTGACTCAATGATAACCTGTATTTACTGACAAGGTCATTGTATTGACCATAGAACTTAGAACTTATGAAATGATGAAACAAGAATATCAGCCGTCTAGTTTAAAGTCATCATTTCGTAAGGTATTAGAATATTATTAAAATTGCATAAAAATACATACATTTATCGCGCTAATCCATGTGCTACAATCCTCGCTCTTTGTCTTTATTTGTCAAACGTGATTCTTTTTTAACTGCGCTCATCGATTAATTAGTACATTTATGTAGAAAAAAAATGTACATTTATTAAATATTTTGACTTTTTTCTTGTACAAAGACATTAGAAAAGTAAATATTTAAAAATTAAGGATATATCAATAATTAACATTATTAATATAACAGTTTTATTTATGATGTCAATCCTTTTGTAATAATAAAAATATCCTTTAGATGAATGAATCACAGGCATATTTCTAGTTGAGAAAGATCGCTTTTGAGGAGTTAAAAGAGATAATCTTTGTCCTTATCAATTTAAGAGATGAAATTCCACTACGTGCTAGAATGTGCCTTCAAGAGAGAACAACCACAAATGTCAAGGCATTTTCTTGCTTATCCTATCTTATCTAATCTCATTACTTGTTAAAGCGGCACTGTGACACACAAATGGGAAAATTGACAATTGTAGAAGTTTTGCATGGTCCTTGTTAATTTTTTTCAATTCTTAAAAGTATTAATTTTCAGAAAATTACAGGTTTCAGAACTCAAAAAATTATTTTTTTGAGAAAAATAAAAGTAAAATAATTTTTGTATGCCACAGACAGAAAATATTGCTCAATACGTCTTCCACTCCATTGTATGTGTGCGCTGAAAAGCTGAATAAGTTTTCATAATTTCCATGGTCTGAAATACCCAGGAATACATGTAGGGTGAATTCACCATGCATCGGACTACCTTGTACTTCAACAAGTTCTAGCGATATTGCTACCGACGGAAAATTATCAAAATGGAGTTTGACATTTAGTTTGTAATTAAAATATCAATTTAGAACACAATTATATGCCGTTTATTGAGAAAATATCCCCAAAAATCGAGTTTTTAGGAAAAACTGGGAATTCACCATGGATCGGACATTGTTCACCATGCATCGGACAGACGGTATGGAGACCGGAAAAATATCATACCTTTATCACAGTGCTTTAAAATCATTGATATGGAAATATTTTCATCTTTTATCTAAGAAATAACCCTCAACTTTAATTTAATCGACGATATTATTGCACAAATGTAGAACGATTCTAGAGACCTCACTCTGCCTTAGAAATGCTTTAAAATGCTTATAATACCGTAATTCGCGCCTTTTTTTCATGGTTTATCATACTCTGGTTTGTAGAAATAAATTAACTAAAATTCCAGACGTCACATATCGATAACTTGTATTTTTTCTGAAAATATAGTTTTCATTTTCTTTTTCTGCAAAAAAACAGCTGTCAGCTGGGTTCTGTATGAATATGGTAGTGCTTACCTTTGCATCGAAAAGGGTCCGATGCATGGTTAATTTGTGTCCGATGTACGGTGAAATTAGCATACTAGCATACTAGTAAAAACCCGATCTAATGAGAATTAAACAAACAGTGAAGTGAAATTTCTTTATAATTTATGTAAAATTACAAATCCCTGACAAAATTCACCAAAGTCCGACTCGTTCCGTGGAAGTCGAATTTAAAAGAACGATAACTCTAAAAATAGCAAAATCATAAATTTCGGGTTATTTCCCTTTGATCATGTAAAATATGACGTAACTTCAAGGCCATTTGCGGGGTATATTTATCACAGCATGATAAACACAATCGGTATCATTAAAAAATTTAAATCTTCATCTTTATGACAGAAAAAAATAAATACACAGAACTCTTAAGATGAAAGAGAGTTTATTGCCTAAAGTTGTCCGAAGCAAGGTATGTGTCCGATGCATGGTGAACTCACCCTAAGTGGACCAAAAATTTAGAGGCAATCTTTTAAAAACATATTGTTCACCTTTAAATATACCAGTTGAATGTTGTTTACAAATTTGTTTAAAAAAAAAAGTAGCATGACCTTGACAACTAGAAAACAACGAGACGGGAGATACAACCTTTGTTTTCCGCACTTACATCGTGGAATTGTTTTTGCAGTTTAATTGTCATATTTTAGCTTTATACGAGTACTCATAATTTTCATAAGTCGTTCTCTATATGCTACAGATATCTTTAGAGAAAGACATGATTTTGACTCATTGTGTCTTTTAAGTTTTAAAGTCTCTTTTGACCTGCCAAATGTGTAAGATGTGTTGTTATATATATTATACAGATTTATTTTACACTAGTAGATACCTTAAATATATTTCATGTTTTGAACTTTAAATGGCAGTTAAGTATTTTAAAAATTAACAATCATGTCATTCATTCATGCTTATTATTCTGTTATATCATTTGTCTTTTGTAAATATCAAAACTTTTTATCCATTCCCTGGAGTTAAATTACATCACTAAATGCCTATAATATGAAAAACTGTGTTCTTTAGCTGACATCATTGCTTTATATGATGTCATAACCTTTCATTGATGTCATTTTAAATTAAAGATCTGAATGTTTCTTATACGCATCTGCGTAACTTTTTGCTCATTCCTGTTTTGTTTAATGCAGACAGAAATATTGTTTTCAATTTCTAAATGATTTTTAATTAAATGGAACAATTCTAAATGAAACGTTTTCACTTTTGATTGTATACGTATGCGCGGGTTTTGTAAAGCAGCTCTCGAATCAGAATTCGGCGAATTAACACTTTTTAAAAAAAAATCTGTGACAGTAATATAAATCTGGAAAAGTCATGGATATAACTTTTGCTATCAATATGCATTCTATAGACTTCAATGAGACTTATACTACAGGAAGCACTACACCATGGCGTCACCACGTAACGTCTAAAATTAGATAAAATATGCCTATATGAAAATTGAAAAATTCAGCACTTCCCCGGCGATAGTTAATTTCATTTCTTAATAATAGTTTTGTAAAAACATCTTTGAACCATAAACGTGTTGCTAGAATCAAGCTGTCCTATCATAGAAATGATTATTCAACACTTTCGGACGAAACCTTTACATGTTTTTGAATTTGTTCACTAGATCGAAAAAAATACATCACTTTCCGGTTACCATACGATTATGCATGTAGCAGCACTTTCTAAAACAATAGAATAAGAACTTTAGATAGAAACAAAAATTAGGTTTCAAAATATGTTGCGTAGTGTTGTGCCTTTGCATCTTTTTTGTTACGAACGACAGAGGAAAGGCTGACCGACAAGTAAACACACTTTTTTTATTGTATAAAGAAATTGTAGAATTATATTAGTATACCTTATTCATAAGTTTTATTCCCACATGTATCACCAATAATATTCATTGTAAATGTGTT